CACAGTGAGGGATGGAGCTGGAGGGTGTTTTTCCCTCTGCTGAGCAGCTCTGAGGCCCAGCACATGGAAACGTCAGAGCCAAGCAGAGAGGATCCCTTCTGCTCCAGAGACTCCTGGGGAGGGTGTCACCCAGCCCTCTGGATATGTGATGCTCTAGGCAGGCAGTGTTTCTGCTAATTCTGCAGAAGCTGAGGAGCAATCCCGTGTTGCATGTGTGTTCTCAGGCAGACAGCGTGGAGTGGGATGAGCCTCAGGGATGAGCAGCAGCAGGAGTGGGAGACTGGGGAGTCAGCTGCCCCCTTCCCCCACCGGCAGCTGTGTCAAGGAGAGGGATGGTGTGGGACACCAAAATGGATGAGTTAATGGGAGGGGTGCCATGCAGGGCCCCCTGGGGTCAGCTGGCAGAGGCTTAGAGCATCCACAGGACTATCAGATGGGGTGGGAGGAACCTGCTCTTACAGCTGGAGGTGAAATGCCTTTTCTCTGCCTCCTCATCCTCTTCCTGCCCTCTCCCAGATCTCCGCCTGCAGCTGCTGGACGTGAAGAACAACCCCTACCTGATCAAGGCTCTGTATGGCCTGCTGATGCTGCTGCCCCAGAGCAGCGCCTTCCAGCTCCTGTCCCACCGCCTCGAGTGCGTGCCCAACCCCGAGCTCATGCAGACCACGTAAGTGCCACGGGGACGGACCCCCAGCGTCGGCACTGGGCTTGGATCAGCTGTTCCCCCACAGCTGAGCATCCCTGCCATCCCAGGCTCAGCCCCAGTGCCAGGCTCAGCCCTGTGCTCCAGCTTTCACCCCCAGCTCCGTTGCGACCGTGGCTGCTCCTTGTCCCCGTGGCCGGGAGCGTTGGCTCGGGGGGTTTTTTGTGTCTATATTTGGTAACCCTGGGAGGGCTGTGCCTCATCCACAGGCATTTGGCATCCAGGATGGAAAATTTCACTTGTGGGGTCGCTATGGAAACGAGCAGAGCTGGGAAGGAGGTTTATGGAGAAAAGACTCCGGCAGCTGGGGGGTGCTCCCAAAACGTCCCCCCTGCAGCCTGGACAGCCTTTGTGGCACCCAAAAGGACCACGGCACCCAATACAAACACCTCAGGATGGCAACTCCGTTCCCACTTCTGGCCTTTGGGGATCCACGAGATGTGCAAGGGCAGCATCTCCTTGGGGACCAGCCGAGATCCTCGTGCTCCCTGCCCAGGGCTGCTGCCAGTGGCGTTTGCTTTCCAACCCTTGGCTAATGGGAATGGATAGAGGGGGGCGGATGATGGTAAAGCCGGCTCTGCCTTGGCAGAGCCTGGGAACAAAAAGAGCTCCCAAGATGGGCAGGTTTCTGAATTAACCCCCCGCTGCCGTTGTTGCTCCTTGGCTTTTAACTGCTTCCCTGGGATGGCTTTTATCCCTCGTGGCCTCCGGCGCTGAGCTCCTACCCACAACCCAGCACTGATATTTAATTGGGGGGGCGGAGAGGGGGCTGTGTGTGCTTCCCCCTCCTTTTTTCCCCCCACTAGCCCCAGCAGTGGGGGTTTTTCGAGCTGTCAGACGGCCTGAGCATCTGATTAACTCTGACCTACATTCCTTCAAACACCGAAGCCGGCTTTCATAACCGGCCAGCCCCAGCTGCCCCTTCCCCAGGGGGATACCGGGGCCACCAGAGCTGCCTCCCATCCTCCTGTGGGCATCCTGTGGCTGGTGTCCCCCCTTCCTTGCATGGGGACAGCATGGGGATGAACATCCATAGCTGGAGCCCTAAGGAGCCTGCATTTGGGGGTTTCAGCCACAGGAGCTTGTACCCAGGGACTGTCCCTGCTGCCACAGGGTATTTTTGGCTTGCTCAGAAAATGAGACAGGGAAACTGAGGTACAGGGCACTGGCATCCTTTCCTCACTGCTTTTGACTGGAATGGATTGGAATAGACGGGAGCATCTATGTTGGAGGGGTTGAACCTCCCCTGTGGGGTCAAGATGTAGATGTTCCTTGTCCCCTCCTTGTCCCAGGGCCTCTTGGGCTCCATCTCGCATTTTGGGGGACTTGAAACATGCCTTTGGGGTTGTTTTATGGTGCACCAGCATAACAAGGGTGTGCTGAGCTCAACTTCTTCAGGACAAGCTCTTGGTGCTTCCAGTGCTGGGTGCTCAGAGTGCCCACATCCCCAGCCCCTTCCCACCCTCACTCTCTGTTCCCACCCTGCAGGGACAACACCAAACCCGGTACCAGCTTCAAGAGAACAGCGGCCTCCAACATCGACTACACGGAGCTGCTGCAGCACTTTGAGAAGGTCCAAAACAAGCACCTGGAAGCAAGACACCAGCGAGCTGGGCGGGCAGAGCAGCTGGACCGGCGGGTGGTCCTCTGAGCACCCCAGAGAGGCCACCGCGGGTGTGCACAGCTGCTGGGGCTGGGACCAGGGGACACGGACCAGGGAACGGGCACACCGGTTGCTGGCCGCCGGAGGATCTGGTGGGTTCCATGGAGATGGGCAGGCGCTCAGCACCGGGCTGGTTTTTCCCCCCACACTGTGCATGTGGATGATGGGGGACCCTCAGGCTGTGCCCGACGTCTCCCGTGGGTGTTGGGGGGAGGTGGGGAAGGGTTGCAGGAGGAGAGGGCCAGGGTAAAGCGGCTCGTCTTCTCTTGCAATGGGGCGAGGAAACTCCCCTTTGCTTTGCTAATGCTTTCCCCGTGACTGTCAGCTGAGAGCCCAGCCTGCTGCCAGCAGCACCGGAGGAGGGGAAGGGAAGACGGGAGCAACCCCTGGCCTCCCGCCCTGGAAAACAAGCACGCGGGGCTGCCAGCACCTCTCGCCACCCCGACTTCCACCCTCTGGCTCCGAGGCCCTGCTGGAGGTCACCGGTGGCGTCTCACTCGGGGAGTCACTGCTGTGACAGGACCTGCTGTGACACTCAGCCCCCTCCCTGCATTCACGCACCCTCCCTGAGCCCCTCAGCTCTTGGCAGGGACAGCGGCACAGCCTCAACTCCCGGGGGGCACAGGGGGCACTGGAGACCCCCATCCCACTTAACCCCAGACTCGATTCCTGCGTTAAGCTCCCCGCGATAAAATAAACAAGCAGTGCAGAGCAGCCCATTCCTTGTTGCTGGGCTTCCCGTCACAGATCTGTTCCCAAGCAGAGCCAAAACCACAGCAAGGGCAGGGGATGGCATGGAGCATCGTGCTTGACCCTGTGCCCCAGGCTGGCCCAGCCCTGCCACGTTGGCTCGCCAGCGAGCAGGGCTTCTCCGCCTGCTCCTCTTCCCAGCAGGAAAAAAAATCCACCACTGAAATTCTTCCAGGCCACGGTCACGAAACCGCAGTGTGGTGACAGGCATTTTCCTGGCCCCGAGCAGCTACTGGCGCTGCCTTCGCCTGGTCCCATGGCACCAGGGGACTGTGGCACGTGCCAGGCCAGAGCGGTTTGGGGGAACCCCGTTGCATCCCCTGCTTATTTCAGGCCTTCACCTGATCCCAGGAAAAGGGGGGGGTTGAAGGAATTCATGGAGTTTTTATGGCTTCTGGCCCTGTTTACAGCAGAGGCTGTCTCTGGCAGTGGGTTCCCCGAGCAGCCCCATACCGGCAGTGCTGCTTTGGCCAGGATAAAGACATTCCTGTCATTCCCGGGAAAGGGCTTTCCAAACCCAGTCACGGCGGGTTAATTTTAACAGCCAACCCTTCAGGATGGGCGAGCGGTGGCTTCCCAAGCCCACCAGCTGCTCAGGGCGCTGGGGGGGTACCCGTTGCCAGCCCCCCAGGTCATTGCCAGCGTGGGCCAGGGCTGCTGCTGGCCCTGGGGCTCTGCCCATCGCTCCTGCTGGGCTCACCACCACTGAGCAGCCTCTTTCCACGCCGAGGGACTGGGTTTATGGGGAGAAATTCCAGTCGACTGCTGAGCCCTAATCGTTTCCTTATGGGTGCTCTTGACCAACACCGGCTGGAGCAGCGTGGGCATCGCCAGCAGGGGAATGGGGCTACTTTTCTGGCAGGAAGGGGAATAGCCCCTCGCCCCAGCTGAGCATCATTTCACTGCGAGGTGTAGGGAGGTCCATCAGGGCTCAGCCTGACAGCCCCACAGCCCGGGAGGCTGGGGCTGAGGCCTCAGGATGGCTGCGGGAAGGGTTCGTCTGCTGGCAGGCCATGCATTTCCCATGGCTCTCCGGTAATCGAGTGCACTGAGACATTTCAGAGCTGCTGTATAATCACCCCGGAGGGACTTCAGCCTGCAACGGTGGTTGCCTGCAGCACACCTTGGCAGGTCAGGGAGGCAACGGGGGTCAAGCACCCCTCGGGGAGAGGCTGAACAGGCAGCATGCCCCCCATCACCACCTCCAGGGCTTTGGGGCTGCCCCCGAGCATCCCGTGGCAGCTCCGGTGCTCACCCCGAGCACAGCGTCGCTGTATACACCCTGGGGGCTCTCCTGCTCCTCACCCGGCACCCCAAGAGCATCCCTGGGAGTTCCTCCGCCGCCATGGGAGCAAACCCCGGTGCTGCCCCCACCAGTCCGCCATCCCCAGGCATCCCTCGGGTCTTCCCCCCCCATGCAGCCCCGGCGCTGCTCCCCGACCCCCCTGTCCCCCAAAAAAGAGCATCCCCGACAACCACCGGGCTGCCCCGGCCTCGTCATCCCTGCGCGTCCTCCGGCTGCCCGCTGCCGCCCCCGGAGCATCCCTGGGGCTGACCCTGAGCCGTCCCCCGTCCCCGCTGCCCGCAGCCCCCGGCCCCGCGGCGGGCGGCGCATGTGCCGCGCAGCGCCCGCCCCGCCCCGCCCCCGCCGCCGCCCCGGGCCGCCCGTCCCCGCTCCGCGCTCTGCTCCGCGCCCTGCTCCGCGCTCCGCTGCCAGGGGGCGGCGGGTCCGATCAGCCCCCGCCGAGGGAGGGAGGGAGGGAAGGGAAGGAAGGAAGGAGGCAGGGGGCGATGCCCCGCGCCGCGCCCCCGCCCGGCTCTCCTGCCGCTCCGCCGCTGCGCCCCCGCCACCGCCGCCGCCGCCGCCGCCGCCCGGGCGCCGCCCGCCTCCGCCGCCGCTGAGCCTGGCCCGCCGCCGCGGCCTCCCCCGGCGGCGCCGCCCGCCCCGGGCTGCCGCAGCGCCGCGATGGAGACGGCGGAGAAGGAGTGCGGAGCCCTCGGCGGCCTCTTCCAAGCCATCATCAACGACATGAAGGTAGGGGTTCCGCCGTCGTGACAGCGCTCATCCCACCGCCCCCCCCGTGCCGCTCCACCGGGCAGCCCCCGTAGTGGTCCCGTGGTGGATACCGGGGCTCCGGTGTGCAGCCCCGGGATGGGGAGTGGAACCCCGCATCGGGTGCTGGAGCCCGGACATCAGACCCGCAGCGGGTGTCAGGGTCCCACATCGGCTGTCGGAGCCTGGCACCGGGTGCCGGAGCCCCTCATCAGCCCCTTGCTGGGCATCGGGACTCCGTGCTGGGCATCGAAGCCCTGGGCATTGCAGCCTCACAGGAGCCCTGTATCCATCATCGGATAGTGGAGCTCCATCCCGGGGTTTGCAGCCCCACATTAGCCCCGGATCCGTCACTGGGTATTGGAGCTCCATCCTGGGTGTTGCAGCCCCACATCAGCCCTGTTATCCATTATCGGGTATCAGCGCCCCATGTCAGGCACCGAGGTCTCACATCGGATGTCTGAGCATGGCACTGAGTGCCAGAGCCCCACATCAACCTCAGACTGGGCTTTGGGGCCCTGCATTGGGCAGTGGAGCCCACGCTGGGGATCGTGGCTCCGGATCAGCCCTGGGTGCCAGAGCCCCATGCCGGGTAACACAGACCAGGCATCGCTGTCCCTGCCCGGGTGCCACTGGCCCCACATCGGGCATCGCCGCCCGTTTCAGGCATCGCGTGTCCCCTGCCAATCCCCACTCCCAGCCTGGATTTCTGCTGGATCCACTGGGGTTGACACCAATGGAACAAAAAGGTCCCCCAGCTCCTCAATCCCATTTTCCAACCCGGGGAGGGGACATCGCCTCCACCCTCCCTGGGAGCAGGATGAGGCCGTGTTTAGAAAAAGCCTCTTTTTTTGTTTGTTTTCGTTTCAAGAAATGAAAATTAAAAATGCTGAGGGGCATTTCTGATTGGGGGCTGAGCAGGGAGGAGGCGACCAGCTGTGTTGCTTCACCTGGGGGGGGGCCGAAATTCCCACTGCCAGCTCCAGCACTGAGGTTTAACCCCAGTCATTTTTGGGAGGCAAAAGCTTTCTTCCTCCTCCTCCTCCTCCTCCTCCTCCTCTTCCTCTCTTCATGCTGCAGACCCGTCCAGACAATGCTGTCATTGCCAAAGCAGGGGAGGGGGGATAAAAAAACAAAAAAGCCTTGCTGGGAAGGAGATTAACCCCTTCGAGGGGCGGTGGTGGCTCCGCAGCCGGACTCTGGCTCAGGGCCGGGAGAAAAGCTCTAGGGAGAAAATCCCAGCTCTCCCCAAGGCAGCGGGATCTGGGGCTGGTGGGATGATCAGCTCCCTCCTTAAAATGCCTTCACCCCAGCCACCCTCTCCAGGCAGCCTGGCTGGGTCCTACACCCCTGGGGGGAAGGTGGGGGCAGCCCCTGCCTCGGTTTCCCCATTGCCCTGCTGAGGCTGCAGGGGGATGAGCCAGCCCGGAGCCGTCACCTCCCAGTGACATGCCCAGCACCATCAGGATGTGGTTGGACTGGGAACCCCTCACCCAAGGAAACCGGCCTGGGTTCGATTTCACGCCGTTTCTAGGTGGGAAAGATGAAAGAAAAATGATGAAAAAGAAGGCAAACCCCACCATGCTACAGCTGGGGCTCAGCCGAGTGCCAGTGGCACCTAAGGGTGCATTGTCCCCATCTCCCAGCCACGTGGGTGGCCTGGCACGGGCACTGGGGGACAAATAACTCCCTCCCCAAAGAACTGCAATGTTGAAGGGCAGCAATGTACTTGGGGTCCTATGGCTGGGACTCCTGCCCAGCACACAGGAGGGCAGAGGGACCTTATTTTGGTGGCAAGTGGCTTTCTCAGCACCCCTTGGCTCATGGTGAGGAGGACTCTCTTGGTGGCAGTCCCCAAACCAGCTTCATTCCTGTTGCCTGTTTTCCCGCGTGCTCGGCGTCCCTGGGTGACCTTGGCATGTCCTTGTCCCCGTTGTCCTCTTCCCCATCCTCCTCTTGCCTGGCATCACAGGGCACTGGGGGCATCAGGACCTGCTCCCTTGCTACAGGGGAGCCTCACTCGCCTTGCTCAGGATGGCCATGGAAGGTGGCCCAGGGACAGTGGCCCAGGGATGGTGGCCATGGCAGTCCCCAGGGACCCACAGCCAGGGCACTGCCACAAGTGACACGTGAAGTGGCACCCTGGAACCTCTCCTTTGCTGACTCACGAGGAAATCGGGGCTTTCGTGGTCCCCAGAAAACAATGCTGGGCTGCTCCCATGACACCTCGGTGCACACCTTGTCCCCAGAGCTGCCACCAAGCCGGGGTGCCTGTGGGGATGAGTGGCTGCAAGGCTGGCTCTGGTGTCCCTGTCCCAGCCTGGTGGCTGCCTCAGGGGGGTTTGCAGGCCCCTGGCACTGCCATCGGGTGGTGACACCAGGATAGCACCAGGATGTTGTCACTGGGACCACAGCACAGGAACTGACCTTGCTGGGATGGCAGCACCGGCGTGGCTTCAGCAGGATGGTGACACCAGGACTGGCTCCACCGGGATGGCTTTGCTGGGACAGCGGCACAGCGACCAGCCTGTCTGTAACAGCACCGGGATGGCCTTGCCAGGATGGTGGCACCTGGATGGCTTCACTGGAATGATGGCACTGGGACCAGCCATGCCAGGCTGGCACTGGGATGGCACCAGGATTAACCTCACCAGGACAGCACTGACTGGCCTCGCTGGGACGGTGGCACTGGGATGGTGGCACTGGGATAGCCTCGCTGTATGGTTGCACCAGGATTAGCCTTGCTGCAGTGGCACCACGACTGGCCTTGCTGGGATGGCACTGCAGCTGGCATTACTGGGACAGGCCTCACTGGAATGGCACCAGGATGCTCTTACTGGGACTGGCATCTCTGAGGCGTCACTGGGACTGACTTCACTGGCACCACACTGAGATAGCCCTGCTGGAACAGTGGCACTGGGACAGCCCTGGGATGGCCTCACTGGACAGTGGCACTGGGACAACCTGGGATGGCCTCACTGGATGGTGGCACTGGGACAACCTGGGATGGCCTCACTGGACAGTGGCACTGGGACAGCCCTGGAATAGCCTCACCACAAAGGCAGTGGGACTGGTCTCACAGGGATGACCTTGTTGGAATGGCACTGGGGTGACATCCCAAGCACCTGTGCCCTGTCCCTGTCCCCACACAATTGTCCCCAACCCCAACGTCCCCTTGTGCCCTGTTGGTCCTCATGGGCTTGGGGGAGGCGAGGACTGGGGCTCCTGTTGTGGGAATGGAGCCCTCCATGGTGGTGGGTTTGACCATCAGTGCTCTGGAGGAGGCTGTGGGTGCTGGGGGGCTCTGCTCCACTGCTGGCCACGGTCTTACAGCTTTGTCCTTTCTTCCTCTCAAATTTCCAAACCCATAAGATGCCTTGAGTCCTGTGAGGAAGAGATCACCCAAGATCCTGAGGTCTCCATTGCCCTCAAGTTTGGGTGGCCAGACTGGAAAGGGAAAAAAACAGGAGGGAAAAGGGTTATTATGCTCAGCCTTCATTAGCCATCAGAGAAGCCACTGAGCTGCCCTGTCTCTCTGTACCAGGGGAGACCTGCCCTGTGTGGGAGGGGGTGCAGGGGGTGAGGGCTCTGTCTCTCACCATGGCCCTTCCTCCTTGTTCCTCCTTGCAGAGCTCCTACCCCATCTGGGAGGATTTCAACTCGAAGGCCACCAAGCTGCACTCCCAGCTCAGGTGAGTGGCCAAGGAGGGGCGGGACTGGGGGTCCCCTCTCCCCATGGCACATCCCGCTGTGCTCCACACCTGCTGAGCTCCCCCCTCGCTCTCTCCACCCCAGGACCACGGTGCTGGCTGCAGTTGCCTTCCTGGATGCCTTCCAGAAAGTGGCTGACATGGCCACCAACACCCGAGGTAGGTCCTCTCCCCTCGGGGTGAGTGTCCCCAGGCTTGGCCAGGCAGGGGGACGGGTGGCGAGTGTCCCCTGTGGGGTGTCCCCTGCCCATGTGACTGGGGTACACTTCAATCAGCAGCTCCACCATCCGTGCAGAGATGTCCATCTCGTCCCCACACCAAGGTGGAGCATCCCTGGAAAGCTGGGGAGTGGAGGGGTGGGCACCCATGTGGATGCTGGCTTCTCACCACCCATGGGTGCTTAGCCACATCTTCTGGTGGGGCTGGGACATTTGGGGTGGCTCAGCCCCACGCCATGGTCCCCTGCCCCCATCTCTGTCCCCTGGGATGCACAAGCCACCTTCCTCATGCCCAGCACCCGCCTGGGAAATTCCCAGGGTGGCCCTGCCTGCTCCAGGTGTCTCTAGGGAAGGGAAATCACCTGGAGGGAGATTCAGGAGTCCAGGCTTGGCTGTTTCATGGACAAACCCCAACCCACCAGGGAAGTGACTGAAGAGCTGAGGGGGCCTCCACGCTGCTGGGGGTGTGTGTGGGGGGGGAGGACCCCCGGACCTTCCCCGAGTGCCTGTTGGCAACGAGGAGCCACTTCCCACCGCTCGGCTTCTGCCAAGCAGATGGTCCCGGGCTGGTTTGCAGACTGGCGGCATCCAGGCCATCTGGAGCTGCGCGAGGAGGAGGAGGAGGAGGCGGCAGCTTGAGCCAGGATCAGCTTTGCCTCCAAACCCACTAGCCCACTGCACTGGGGGGATTAGGTCTCCCCCAGCTCCCCGCCAGCCTGGGCACCGAAAGCAAAGAGGGGGCACGGGGGGAGTGCTGGGAATGCTGGGGATCGGCACCCTGGGAGTCAGCATCACCCTGTCGTGCTGTTAAACCCGCAGGGGTTTTTTTGGGGGGAGGGTGGGAGGCAGAGCAGCAGCAGCAGCACGGAGAAACTGAGGCACTGGGTGGGGGCTGGCTGGTGGCCTCGCACGCAGCGCATGAGAATCGGATTAGGAGCAGCAGGAGCTGGGATAAGAGCATTAGGAGCTGGATTAGGAGACTACCCCCGTGCAGGAGAAGGCCCTGGGCCCATGGGTTCCCCTATTTCCGCAGCACTAAAGGGCTGGGGAGCGCTCAAAACCCCTGCAAAAGGGTGGAAGGTGTCTCTGGAGGCTTTTTTATGGGAGAGAAAGGCAGAATATCCCTCCTCAGTTTGCACCCAAGGATTTTTGGATCGCTGCTTTTCCAGGGATTTGCCAGCAGCACTGCCACCATGTGGCCGTCCCTAGGCTTCAGAGTTAACAGCGGTTTCACCTAAAAGGGATGCTTCTGCTTTCTCTTGCTGGCAAATAACCCCCTCCGGGGAGTTTGAACTCCGTTTTCACCCACTCGGGATTGTACCTGGAGGTGTGGGACAGAGCTGACTGCCTGGAACTAAGCCGGGGCACCTCCTCCCTTCCCTTCCCTGGCCCCACAGTGCCAAATTTGAGACAAACCAGGAAAAAATGGGAGCAGGTTTCAATTTCAGAGCTGCTGGAAGAGATATTTAGTGCTTTATTTGTTAGTTACTGGATGATGATTGATTTATTTTGTGGATTTATCGTGGGGAAAAAAAAAAAAACAAACAGCCCCTAACCCGAGGAGTCCCCAGAGCTCAGCGCATCCCAGCATCGTCCCTGCCGGGAGCCACCCTGCTCCCACCACACAGACTGGGCTGGGACCGCTGTGGGGACGTCCCTGCCCCTCGTCAGCAGCGCTTCTGTCCCCACCAGGTGCCACGAGGGACATCGGCTCTGCGCTGACCCGCATGTGCATGAGGCACCGCAGCATCGAGGCCAAGCTCCGGCAGTTCACCAAGTGAGGGGGCCCAGGGTGTTGGTGATGGGCGTGCCGGGCTCGTCCCTCGCTGAGGAAGGAGGGGGGGTCGGCTGGGCCCTGGGAGGGGGGCACGGCTCCCCCCACACCCCGGCTCCGGCGCTCGCCCACGCTCTCTGCTTCTCACTCTCTCCCTGCTCCAGCGCCCTCATGGAGAGCCTGATAAACCCACTGCAGGACAGGATCGAGGACTGGAAGAAAACTGCCAACCAGCTGGACAAGGACCACGCAAAAGGTACAGGGAGGGAAGGACAGGATGGGTCCGTGCGGGGGGGCTGCACTGCTTGGGGGGGGTCCCCTCTGACAGCGCTTCTGTGCCCCCAGAGTACAAGCGAGCGCGCCACGAGATCAAGAAAAAGTCCTCTGACACCCTCAAGCTGCAGAAAAAGGCTCGCAAAGGTGAGGGGGGGTCTCCTGGGGGGTGCCCCCGCCAGCCCCTCTGCAGCACGCCCAGCCAGGGCGGGCACCCCGGCTGTGGCACTGCCAAATGGGGAGTGGGCATTAGGGGGGTCCTGCTGCCCCCCTGCAGAAAGGGGGGTGCCAGCACGGCCCAGGGGGTGGTGGGGAGGCGGGGGCGTGTGCCCCAGCCTTTGGCCTCTTTTCACACGTTTTCTCTGTCTCCTTCTCTCTTCCCTCCCCTCCACATCCTTCCTGTAGAGCTACTTGGTAAGTGAACTGCTGCCCCCACCACCACCGGTCCCCTCTCTGCTTCCTCATCTGCTCCCCCCGTCTCCCCAGGCTCCGTCTGTCTGTCCGTCCATCCATCCGCTCCCTGTACCCCCTTCACCCTGCTTTTAGCTTAGCTTAGCTTGCACCCCACGTCCTGGGGCAATGCCAGCCCCGCCACAGTGGCAGCCCGAGGGTCCCAAGTGCCAGGAATGGGGATGGAGTGACAGAGGAGCCCCCTGCCCAGGGCTGCTGTGGGGTGAAGGTGCTCCTGAACCCTCCAGGGGTACGGGCACAGTGAGGGACCTGTGGCAGCTGTTGGGATGTGAGGATGGGGTGATGTCCCCAAGCTGGAGCCGGGGGTGTGGCCTCAGCTTGGCAGCGGGAACCTCAGCAGATTGGGGGGAGTGTCAGGAGAGCCCAGCGCTGACAGCGTCCCATCTCACAGGGAAAGGGGATCTGCAGCCCCAGCTGGACAACGCCCTGCAGGACGTCAATGACATGTACCTGCTGCTGGAGGAGACGGAGAAGCAGGCGGTCCGCAAAGCCCTCATTGAAGAGCGGGGTCGCTTCTGCACCTTCATCACCTTCCTGCAGCCCGTGGTGGTGAGTGCTGGGGACCAGCGGGGTGTAGGGGTGGTTCCTGCTGCCCAGACAGTGCTGATTGTTCCCTCTTATCTGGCCTCAGAACGGGGAGCTCACCATGCTGGGAGAGATCACCCACCTGCAGGGCATCATCGAGGACCTGGTGGTGCTCACGGCTGAGCCCCACAAGCTGCCCCCCGCCAGTGAGCAGGTCAGTGGGGGTGAGCTGGGGGGGACAGGGGAGAGGGGAGCATCTTTGAGCAGGACTTACACCCCGTGCTTCCTGCAGGTGATCAAGGATCTGAAGGGCTCTGACTACAGCTGGTCCTACCAGACCCCTCCGTCCTCGCCCAGCAGCTCCAGCTCCCGCAAGTCCAGCATGTGCAGGTATGGTGGGGTGGGCTCCACACTCGACCATAGCCAGGAAATCCAGTGCTCCTCGTTAACCCCAGTGGGCTAAGGACACTCACAGGCCTTGGGGATGCTCACAAGGTGCATGTCCACCTTCTCATGCTCATGTGGCCAACTGGTTCCCGCTATTGTGGAGGAACTGGTCTTGGTGCACTGGGCAGGGCTGGTGGACCTACGGGGCAGGATGGGTGCCTGGAACATGCCCTGTCCTCTGGGGTTTGGGGACAGTGTGAGCTGTGCAGGGGAACCTGGGGGCAAACATACCACCTTTGTCGTGTCCCTCAGCCTGTTCCCTGCCACAGGGGCACCCTGTGTGGCGCTCCACATTCCCCAGTTTGCCCACGTCGGGGTGCGTGGCAGGGCACTGGCCGCCCTGCCACCTCCCAGCCTCCGTCTCAAATTCTCTTTTCCTTCCTTTGTCCTCCCCACCGGCGTGTCCCCGTGCCCCCGGCGCCCCCCCAGCAGCGTTAGCAGTGCCAAGGGTGGCGTGGCGTGGCCCGGCGGGGCTCAGACCTGCTCACCCAGTTCCACCTATCGCTACCGCAGCCTGGCGCAGCCCCCCGCCGCCGCCACCCGCCTCTCCAGCGTCTCCTCCCACGACTCCGGCTTCATCTCCCAGGACGCCGCTTACTCCAAGCCGCCCTCCCCCATGCCCTCGGACATCACCAGCCAGGTAGGGGGGGCACTCAGTGCTCTGCCCACCTCTGTGCCTCATCTTCCTCTTCTGCAGAGTGGGTGGGTGGTGCTGGGAGCAACACGAGGGTGCAGTGCAGGGGTGGTGAGTCCCACCCCCAGGAGTATTTCCAGCTGCGTTGGCCTCATGGGAGGTAAATATTGGGAATATTGGGGGCGTCTGCCCTGCAGAGAAATCCCACCCATGACTTTTCCCCCGGGGATGGGGCACAGATATCCCTCTCCCCGTGCCAGAGGAATAGGGTATTTCCCACTGGGAGAACAGGGTGTTTCCCAATCACCCCAGCCCCATAATGCCCAGTTTGTGCCAGTCCCCCACCAGGCAGCATGAGCAAAGCTTCCCCTTCACTCTGCATCCTCCCCAGTGCCAAGGATGGTCCAGGATCCCCAGGGAGCTGCCATTCCGGCCTGCCCATGCTAACCTGGCACCACCAACCTGGCAACTGCCTAAAATACCTGTTGGCTCTGCGTGGCTTGGGGTGAGCAGGGGGGAGGGTTGGGGCGGAGCATCATCCCAGCTCAGTAGATCCTGCTGCGAGGTCACTCACCATCCCGCATCCACTGCCAGAGGGGAGGAGGGCTGGGGGCCTGGCACAGCCAGGGGAGCCATGGGTGCTTCTCTAACCAGGGCTGCAGCTCTGGCTTTGCTTGCTAACGGCCTCTTCTCTCCCCCTCTGGCTCTCGGCTCGGCCTCGTGGCACGGCACAGCAGAAGTCCTCCAGCTCGGCGTCCTCAGAGGCCTCCGAAACCTGCCAGTCAGTTAGCGAGTGCAGCTCCCCCACCTCGGTTAGTCCTTGCCGTCCCACCAGGGTTGCACTTCACACATGGTGTCCCCCTCCTCACCTCGTGGGGTTTGGGCCCCAGATCCCTCATCCCACCCCCTCATGGGGCAGAGCATCCCGTGGCTTGGTGGGGGACATCAGCACGTGTCCTCCCCTGCCCCGCTCCCGGTCCTGGTGTCACCAGCGTCAACCTCATGCCTTGCCCTCCACAGGACTGGTCCAAGGCCAGCCCCTATGACCAGCCGGTGGTCCCCACCCTGCAGCGGCGCAAGGACCGCGTGGAGCACCTCCGGGAGGCCGAGATGGGCTCTCCTGCCGGCGGGTACCCGGGCATGGGCGGCGAGGATGCTCCCAGGCCCCGCATGTCACCGGCGACGATCGCCGCCAAGGTACCGCCCGCAGCGGGGAGAGCGCAGGGGTGGGGGGTTCTTAGGGGACTCCTGAGAGAGGAACCAGGGTGCTGACAGTGCCCCTTGCCCTCACAGCATGGGGAGGAGGTGTCCCCTGCCGCCAGCGACCTGGCCATGGTCTTGACCCGAGGGCTGAGCTTGGAGCACCAGAAGAGCAGCCGGGACTCGCTGCAATACTCCAGCGGCTACAGCACACAGACCACCACCCCCTCCTGCTCCGAGGACACCATCCCTTCCCAAGGTACCTCGGCTACAAGGGGGAGCTGGGGCTGCCTGAAACAGCACCCAGAGTGAGGAAGGGGATGGCAGAGGCTTTGGTGGTCCTGGAGCACTTCTGCCCACTTTGGGTGTCATAACATCAGGCTGTGGTTGCATTGCATAGGGGCTGGGTAGGGGGAAGATTTGATGTGTTGGGGATTTGGGGTGTGGCACAAGCTTTGTGCCACACATAACCACAGCCTTTTCTGATTATTTGGGTGTTAGTTGAGGCTCAGTGGCTACAGCTGTGATGGGCAGTGCTGTAACAGGAAGCCTTTTGCCAGGGTGTTGTTGGAGATGGGTTGTGGTGATGTGTCTGTGTGCAGCAGTTGAGTACAGGTGGAGATGGTAGCAGAGTTGGCGGTTGGAGATCAAATAATGTTTGCAATCACCACGTTGATTATGTGATAATTACATCGTGTTTGTAATCATCCTGTTGGCGTGATGACGGCTGAGCCAGTTATGAGCATGTGATGGTGACGATGGAGGTTGGCTGTGATCATGTTGTGATAGCGGTGGTTGGGGCGGTTGTGATGGTGATGCTTGGGTTTGACTAAACCAGTGGCAACGGTGGGGTCTGGTTGTGTTTGTGTTGCAATGATGACAGTCGGGGCTGGTTGTGATTTCAGTGTGATGGGTTGGGGTGGTTGTGGCTGCCCTGCAATAGCGGTGATTGGGGTGATCGTGGTTGGCCACACTGACCGTGCTGCTGCCTCCCCAGGCTCCGACTACGACTGCTACTCGGTGAACGGCGACGTGGAGTGCGACCCCCAGAGCGACTTCGACAAGTCCTCCACCATCCCACGCAACAGCAACATCGCCCAGAACTACCGGCGGATGATCCAGACCAAGCGTCCTGCCTCCACCGCCGGGCTGCCCACCGGCACCAACCTCCCGGCCGGCACCACCCCGGGGGTGGCCACCATCCGCCGCACGCCCTCCACCAAGCCCTCGGTCCGCCGTACCCTCTCCAACGCCGGCCCCATCCCCATCCGACCCCCCATCGTCCCCGTGAAGACCCCCACGGTGCCCGACTCCCCTGGCTACGCCGGCCCCACGCGGGTGGGCAGCGAGGAGTGCGTCTTCTACGCCGACGACGCCTCTCCGAACCCCCTGGATTTTGCCAAAGCTTCGCCCAAGCGGCTGAGCCTTCCCAACACCGCCTGGGGTGGCGGTGCCATGGAGATCTCCATGTACCCCGGGGCCGGCCAGCACCTCTCCGCTGAGGAAGAGGAGGACCAACAGCTGGCCGCCAACAGGCACAGTTTGGTGGAGAAGATCGGCGAGCTGGTGGCCGGCGCCCACGCCCTGGGGGAAGGCCAGTTCCCCTTCCCCACCACCCTCGTGGGGTCCGGCCCCAGCGAGGAGACCCCCGCGCCCCCCCCGGCGGCCTCCATGGACCCCCCTGCCGAAGACATGCTGGTGGCCATCCGGCGCGGGGTGCGGCTGCGCAGGACCGTCACCAACGACAGGTCGGCCCCGCGGATATCGTGATGACGCCGCGGCCAGCGGGACGTGCCCGCCGCGGCCGATGGACCTCCCCAGGAACCCCCACCCGCCGGCACCCGCTGCCCTGTCCCTGTTCCTGCCCCTGTCTGCTCCTGCCCTGCCCTCCTCCCTGTATCCTTCCTTCACTTGCTCTTTCTTTTCTTTTCTCCTCTTTTTCCCATTTTCTCCTTTTCTTTTTCCTGCACTTACTTCTTTTTCTTGTTTTTTTTTTTATTATTCTTCTTTATCCCTTTATCTCTTTTTCTTCTCTTTTCTTATTTTCCTTTCTTATTTTCTTTCTTTTCCTCTTTTCCTTTCTTTTTTAACTCTTGTTCTCCTCCTGTCTTTTTTCCTCTTTTTCCCCTTTCCGTTTTTGCCCTCCTCCCCTTGTTTCTTTTCCTCTCTCGCTGCCTCCCCTCTGTTTTCCCTCCCCTGGGCACAGGTGGGTGGCCCCAGCCACAGCAGGAGAGGACGGTGCCAGCAGGGCCTTGATGGCAGCACCAGGAGCGGGGGGGTCCTGGCTCATTTCCCCCCAGCTGCCTGCTCGGGGCCAGCACGGCTCAGCCTCATTTCAAGGGGCAGAAGCAGTGGGGAGGGGGTGCAGGGTTGGGGATGTGTGAGAGGCTGTGTAGGGGCTGGGGGCACAGGCACTGCAGTCCCCTCTGCCCTGGGGGGACACTGGTGTGCAGTGGCTGAACATGCTGAACCTCCTCTTTGCCTCCCCCTCCCAGGGATCACTGGAGATCCCTCCCAGCCCCCCCAAACCCCCTCCCTCAGCACCTGAAGCCCCTGTGCAGGGCCCTGCTCGGGGGGTGGGTCCAGGGAACAGGAGGTTTCACGCACCCCCCCGAAGTGAAGACGCTGATTTCTGCCGGCGGCTGGAGGAAAGCACAACCCCCGGCCCCCGCTGTACATAGCCCCCACCCCGCTGTCTGTCGCCTCGCAGCCCCCCAGCCCAGCCCTCCCCTTAGGAATAACCATTTAGTTCTCCCCCTTTCCCCTTCTCCTGCCCAGAACCGCTGATGCCAAGTGACAAATGTTTGGGTTTGAGGGAGGGAGGGGGTCTCTTATTTTGTACAGAAAACAAAAATTCCTTGGAAAAAAGAAAAAAAACTGACCTGTCTTTCGACTGAAGTAACTTTTCTGGTGCTGTTGTTAACTTGGTCCTTACTCTTTCTTTTTTTTTTTAATTTATTTTACCCAATGTGCTCCCGCCTCTGCCACCGCTTCCCCCCTCCCCATCCCTCTGACAAGTTTATTTCTCTTTCTTTTATTCCCTCTTTTCTTTTAATTTTTTTTTTTTCTGGTGGTAATTCCCTCTTCCCCCCTCCACCTCTTCCCCGTTTTCCATAGTCACTGCTACAAGTAACGAATGCACTGTGAAGATTCCAGTATTAATAAAGGTTGTACTGTAATTAATAGCCTCGCCTGCACTCCTATGGATGTTCTGGTCCCCTGGGGTCACCCCAAAAATAGGTGGGAAGGTCCTCTTGCCCCTTTGGGATGCCCATGGCTGGAGGGAGTGGGTATTTTGGGGTATGGAGGGCTGAGACAGCCCCACAGTCGAGGTGATGGGTGACCCCAGGATGCAGAAGAGCATCCTGCTGCCCCATCCCCTCCAGGAGAGGGGGTGCAGGCGGTGCCCCCCCATCTCCACCCATCCCAGCAGCACCCGCGTTGCCACCTCCCGGATTACCGAGGCCGATTGCCAAACCCTGCCGGGGCGGCACAACCGGCGCGGTGAGCGGCGGGGATGGAGGGGCTCGGCGTGGGCAGCGTCCTGCTGACCGGCTGTGACGGGGGGCTGGGGCTGGCGCTGCTGAAGGGATTCCTGGAGCAGCCCAGCCCACCTCGGCACCTCTTCGCCGCTTGCCTGGACCCCCAGGGGAAGGTAGGGAGGCCACTGGAGCAGGGGGGACAGGGAGAGGTCAGCTCTGGGGAGGGTGCCTGGGGATGCCACCATCCCACCTGGAATTGGGGTGCTGAGCATCACCTTCCTGCACGATGAATGGCATGGAAAAATACATACATCTCTCTCTCTCTCTCTCTCTCTCTCTATATATATATATATGAAACACAAAAATGAGCATATATCTATATAAAATATTTAAAATACCTATCTGTGCATTAAATATGTATGTGTGTAATTATTCTGCCTCTCTTGGCGTAGACATGTGCGTGATGGGGAGCGCGAGGGGGTTGCTGGCAGCCCCCCTGCCGGGGGCGTCGCTGCTGGCAGCTTTGAAGCGGTGCAGGGGAGCAGTGACTCGCCCCAAATCCCGCTGGATCCTGTTGGAACCTGTTGGCTGTGACATGCAGGGCCACCCTGTTCCCACCCCAGCACCCTCCCGGTGAGCCTCCCCACACGACCTCCTCCCCTCTGCTTTCTCCACGTAGGCTGTCAACGAGGTGGCTCTGGGCTTTCCCAACGTCCTTGTCCTGCCTCTGGGTAAGTGCTGGGGCGGGAAGCGGATGAAGCCTCTCAGGATTTAATTGCGACCCTGGGCGGCTCCGGGAAATGCCACCAAGCAGGCGGATCCCTCAGCTGGGCTCAGCTGAACCAGGTCACCGATGGCACCAGGAGGATGCTCAGAGGCAGAGAGAGCTGCCTCCTGCCTCGTCCCACAGTGTCTTCCCAGGGATATTGCCACCAGCCTGTCCCTAAAGCGCCCCTGTCCCCTTGCAGACGTGACAGACCCCAACAGCATCAAGGCAGCGGTCGGGAAGGTGCGGGAGGAGGTGGGAAGTGCTGGGCTCAACCTGCTGATCAACAACACGGGCACCACGCGCCGCAGCACGCTGGCCACTGAGACCGCTGAGAACATGAGCCTCGTGTACGCCACCAACACCATCGGGCCCCTGCAGACCAGCCAGGTGAGCCCACGGGCACCCCCTGCCCCAAATGAGGGAATAGGGAGGGAGAGGATGAGGATCCTGAGCTCCAATCCCCTGCAGGCCTTCCTGCCCCTGCTGAAGGAGGCGGCTGAGGCTGAAGGGCAGCGTGAGATGAGCTGCAGCAGAGCTGCCATCGTCAACATCTCCAGCATCCTGGGCTCCATCGAGGTGGCGGAGGCTTGGGAGGAGAGGCAGGACATCTGCTACCGCTGCAGCAAGGTACTGCCACTCGGGAGGATGGGGAGGAGCCTGGGGGTCACCTCCTGCAAGATTCCCCCACCACGGGCCCTGGCATTGCTGGCTGGTGATGGTGAGGGGGTGTGGGTTGTCCTCCCAGGCTGCTCTGAACATGCTCACCAAGTGCCTGGCCCTGGAGTACGGGAGCAGCGGGATCCTCTGCGTGTCTGTGGACCCCGGCTGTGTGACCCCTCCCTTGGAACAGGGCATGGTGAGTGATGGCAGGTGCTTGGCCATCCTGGCTCAGCAAAGTCCCACGGGCATCCCTTCCTGTGGCACCCCCTCCCAGGGGCATCCCTTCCCAAGGCCATCCCTTCTCAGGCTCATCCCTTCCCAGAGGGATCTGTTCCTGGAGCATCACTTCCCATGGACATTCCTTCCCACAGACATCCCTTCCCAGGGGTATCCCTTCCTGGGGTATCCCTTCTCAAAGTTATCCCTTCCCACGGACATCTCGGAGTCATCCCTTCCCAAAGACACCCCCTCTCAAATAAATCTCTTTCCAGAAGTGTCCCTTCCCATGGACATCCTTTCCCAGGGGCACCCCTCCCTGGGTTGTCCCTTCCCATCATAGGCATCCCTTTCCTGGGCACTCACCCCTGTGCCCTTCAGTCCCGAGGTAGCTGCACCCCCACAGCAAAGGGCCAGTCCCAGGCTCTCCCACAAAACCATCCAATTTCCTCCCGTTTTTTATTTGCCTTTTCATTTCCTTTCCCATCCCGATGGTGTGTCAGCAGAGGGCACCCCGGCCCTGCACTTGGCTGCCCCTTCACCCTGCACTGGTTGACAAAAGAGTCACTTTTTAATTAGGAACCAAAAAAATTAACCTCCATCCTTACAGCAACAAACTGGGGACAACCGATTCGCTCAGAGCCACATCCCTTGCCTGCTAGAGCAGCTCTGGCCTCCCAAACCAGCCCAGCCAGTGCTGCTATCCCACCACACCGTGGGATGGGAATGGGAATGCTGGGATGGGGGGTCCTGGCTCATTTTCTCCCCTCCCTTGAGTCCAGCAGGGCCCGGTGACGGTGGAGCAGAGCGTGCAGGGTGTCCTTCGCCTGCTGTCCCAGCTCTCAGCCAGCAGCAACGGCACCTTCTGGGACTGGAGAGGGCAGAGGCTGCCCTGGTGAGAGCAGAGCCCATCCACTGAGCTTCGTTAATTAAAGCTAATGAACTGCCATTTGCAGGCTCACTCTGGTTCTGTTGGGGGGAGAACAGGGACGCCCTGGCTGGGGGGTGAGAGCTGGGGTTGCTGCTCCACTGAAATGCTGAGTTGTGCCAGAGCAGCAGAGGGAAAGGTGCTCCAAGTGTGCTCCTGTATCCAGGGCACCCCTTGGGACTGAGGGAACTCCCTGGGCATCCTCACTCTAGGGCCATAAGCCACGCTGCTTGGTGGCCTGGGGACATCCCAGACAGCCCCCAGGCTGCAGCCATGGGGCAGCCTCAGCACAGCCCAGCTCTGACCCTACTGAGCCTGCCCACCCCAAAACCAGCCAGCTTTTCCATTCCCACCCCGAGGATGCTGCCAGGCTTTGTTCCTGCTGCCTCAAGGGCAGCAAAGGCCCTTCCTATTCCAGCAGCTGGGGATTTCACAGGGGGGAGATCTCCCCAGTCCCAGCACATCTCCAGGAATGTCTTTTGGGACATAAATCTACCCCACCTCATGGTACACCAGGCAATATTGCAAGCAGGCTCTCACTCCCCTTGGGTGAGCCACTCCCGTGGCAGCTCTGGACGTTTCTGAAGCCATCCCTCGAAAGAGGGGCTCAGGAAGATGTTTCAATATCTCCAGTGGGCTGGCCCTGCAGGGCTCTGGCAGGCCCTGGCCCAGCCATTTGCCGAGGGGACGCTCTGGGAAGCTTGGCCGGGGTCATTCTGCTGGGACAGCTTCAATTTTCCCACGGTGGAGGAGGATGGAGGATCATTCCCACGCCTGACGTGAGGGAGTGGGAGGTGGGGACTCAGCCCTGGGGGCTCAGGCAATCCCAGGTGGGTCTCTGGACCACGTGGGGGGATCTTTGTTAAAGCCAGTGAGGATGGGAGAGGGGGTCCCCATAATTAAAACCCTTTATCAAGTGGTGGATCATCGTTGGTGGGCTTTATATGAGCTCTGCGTGGGCTTTATGTGAACAGGAACCATTGCTAAGCATGAAGGGAGGAGGAGGAGGAGGGAGACATTGCCACCACTCATGCTGCAGTGCCCACAGACTCATAAGCCTAAGCAGCCCTCAGCGAGGAATACACTAATTAAGGTCTGTAATAGCTGATGAAGGTAATTAACTAAGCTGTGAAGGGGGGAGGCAGCCAGGCAGCCCCCAGTCCCTCTGGCGCTGCCCTCTCTGCGCCGCCAAGCACAACAAACAAATCCAGATGTTCTCTTGCTGGGGAAGCAGCTGGAGCTGATGGAGGCAGCCTGGCAGGCAGTGGCTCTGGGGGTCCATATATCAGGGTGATTCTCTCCCCACAGTGGTGAGGGAGGGAGCTGACATCAAAAAAGGTGCCACCTCCTCCCCAAAAGAGGAAGTGGTAGAGACAAGGGGGGTTCTCTTTGCTGGTCCTTTATTTTGGGTAAGGCTGGAGGCTCCCAGGACCCGGTCGGAAGCTGAGCTGCAATGCTAGAGAATTAACTGGTGTTTAATGAAAGCTGAGGGAAAAGTACAAACCAAGAGGAGCGGGGTGATGCCCTCACCCTGCCTGTGGGCAGGGAGGGCAATGTGTCCCCTCCAGCAGCTCCCGTCATGGGGGGGCTGTGTCCGACCCCACACTCGTGCTGAAGGTGCCAGGCATTGTGGATGGGCAAGACCCCATGGCCATGAACAGTCCCACGGTCCTGGAAGGAGTGATGTGTGGTCCCAGAAGAGGTGGCATTTGTCCCACCTTTGCACCTTCCTTGGGAACCCCCCGGGGGCTCTGCTGGGAGCGGCAGAGTAGAGGCAGCATCCGAGGCTCCAAGGCAAGGAGAAGGTGTTGAGCAAAGGGTCTTCTGCAGCGCTAGGTGGACTCCCACCGACCTGAGCAGAGGGAACAGGTGTCATCAGGTGAGTCAGGGCCCCCACGTTTGGCACCCTCCCTGCTCCCCAACTCACAGGGCCCTCCGTAGAGCATCCGCATGACCTTGAGGCAGTTGTCCAGCAGTGCCTTGGGGCGCACGGCCTTGCTCCGGCTCTCAGCGCCCGCGCTGTGGACCAGCTTCACCAGGTCGGCCACCACCGCCTCCACATCTGTCTGCAGGGACAGGTCAACAGGAGGTCACCGAGGTCCCCCAGGGTGCAAAATGACACAGCTGCTGCATTGGCCGGGAATCGAACCCGGGCCTCCCGCGTGGCAGGCGAGAATTCTACCACTGAACCACCAATGCCAGATGTGCAGCTCAGCCCAGCCCTCCCCCACACAGCCCCAAACCGCTGGGCTGGAGCAGCGGGGACAGGCCAGCACTTTAATGACACAGCCAAGCACAGCCCACTCTCTCCTCAGAGGGGCTGCAGAACCCGACCCACGCACAGGAGAATGCACACACACTGCGGGTTCACACTGGTGACCCAGCTGAGGCAGGGCACGCTCATCCAGCACCCAAACGCAGCTGCATCTCCCATCCCCATGCAGTGCCCATTGCCCTGGGCCAGGGGTCCTCACTGCAACCGAGCCAACCTCCTCATTGCCACCAAACCAGGGGACAGATGTCCAGGGAGTGGGTGCACAATCCCTCCAGGAACCCCGGGCCAGTTCCCACAGTCCCCCCAGAGACACTGGGGTGCAAAATGTACATCTCTTGCATTGGCCGGGAATCGAACCCGGGCCTCCCGCGTGGTAGGCGAGAATTCTACCACTGAACCACCAATGCCAGATGTGCAGCATCTCCTGGTGCTGCCCCATCATCCCAAACCCAGCAGAGCAACTGTTGGCTGTGAATGTACCACCACCCCCCCCATACACAATGCAGGAGCCCAACAAACAGTTCTGAAACCGGGGCTCCTGCCAGCAGAGCACCTCTTCCTGTTGCCTCACATCACCTCCAGCAAAGAGGGCTTGTCATGAGCCTTCAGAGTTAAAACTCTGATGAGACCACCAAGCAAAGCTCACAATTCCTTTGGACGGGCTGCAGAACCTGCCTCATGGCACGGGGCAACACAGCCACATTTTGGGTTCTCACTGGAGACCCAGCCACGACAGACCACCCTCACCCAGCACCCAAACACCTCCATTTTGGGGTGCAGCCCATGGCTGCATGGAGTCCAAGTCAGGTGGAGGGGCTGGAGGCTGCAGAGGTGAAGGACATAGGGCTGCCCTGGCCAGGAGCCAAGGCTGGGCTCTTGGGGACAGGGCACAGAACAGTCCCCCTGAGCCACCCATGCCAGATGTGGAGCTGAGCACAGCTCCACCTCTGTGGTCTGGGCACCACTGAGCTCCCACTACTGCTAAGCCAGGGACATAGCACGCCTTGCTGTCACTGAGCCGCTGTCCCTCCTTGCCACGCAGCTGAGATGCTCGCTGTCACCACACCATCTCCTCTCACTGCCCCTCAATACCACCAAGCCAGGGACACTCACTGTGGGCAGAGCTGCTGCTGCCACCCTTGGAGTCTGAGCATCCCCACAAAGGTCACAGTGCCGGGGCCAAGGGGACAGCGGGACCCAAGGGAGCACCACGGGCGCCCTGGCAGCCCCCGGGATGCAAAAGGGTGCAAGATAATACACCGATTGCATTGGCCGGGAATCGAACCCGGGCCTCCCGCGTGGCAGGCGAGAATTCTACCACTGAACCACCAATGCCAGATGTGCAGCTCAGCCCAGCCCTCCCCCACACAGCCCCAAAACCGCTGGGCTGGAAGAGGCACTGCCAGCAGCGAACACCCCCTCCCAGGGAGCACCAGACAGACAGCGCTGACACCGCGGGCTGGAGCCCCTCTTCCTGCTGCCTCACACATCACCTCCAGCGAGGAGGGCTCGTCGTGAGCCTTCGGAGTTAACGCTCCGCCTGATGAGACAGCCGAGCACAGCCCGCTCTCTCCTCAGAGGGGCTGCAGAACCCGCCCCACGGCACAGGAGAATGCAGACACACCGCGGGTTCACACTAGTGACCCAGCTGAGGCAGGGCACGCACATCCAGCGCACAAACGCAGCTGCCTTACGGTTCAGCAGCTCCATCGAGACAGGAGGAGAGGCAGGATCGCCACCGGGAAAACAGGGGTGAATTCGGGGGCACATTCTGCCTGCTCCCTCCGCAACCACCAGCCGTGGCAGGGCCACTCCGTGAGCGGGAGGTGACAGTCTCGTTTCCCCCTTCCCGCCTCCCAAGGGTGGCAAGGCAAGAAAAATGTACATCTGTTGCATTGGCCGGGAATCGAACCCGGGCCTCCCGCGTGGCAGGCGAGAATTCTACCACTGAACCACCAATGCCAGATGTGCAGCACTCCCCGCTGCTGCCCCACGGCCCCAAACCCCACACCCAACCTCTGTCCCCGCACCCCGTCCCTGCCATCCCTCCCAAAGGACCCGCCTGCGGTGGGGTGTCCGTGTGCCCCCCCGGGGCTCGTGGCTGTGGGTGCATCTCTGCCCAGCACACGCGTGTGTGTGACGTGGGGCTGGGCTGGGCTGGGGGGCCGCGGGGGATCCTCACCTGCCGGTACTTGCTGTACTCCTCACCCAGGGCGTCAAAGAGCTGGCACAGCTCCTGGGTGTACTTCCAGGATGGGTGCTTCTCTGGCAGCACCTCGCGGATCCGCAGCACTGCCTGGGAGCTGACGTGGAACCAGAGGTACCGCAGGGCTGTCTCCGACACTGTCCCATTGCGCTAAAGGGCGAGAGGGTGTCCCAGGTGAGACTCACGCAGCCCTCGTGGGTCCCCGCAGTGCCCCCACCACGGGGCTGCCACCATCTTACCAGGCGGGTGATGTTGGAGGGCCTCAGCACCTCTTCATACTGGACCTGGACTGTGTAGTCGATGGGAAAGTAGTGTTTCTGGAAAGATGGAGCAGGGCATGGAGGCTGGCAGGGGGCAAAGTGACAGGGGGACATCCCTGCCAGACTCAGCATGACAATGAGGTGCTCCTGGAAAAGCTTTTTGACATGGTCAGCCCCCAGCAGAAGTAGCCCTGGGCACCATTTGGCACAAGTTGCCCCTGGTAAAAAAAATCAGCCCCCCCAGCACCTGGCCACTGTAGAGCACTGGGTGCTGCCCTCCCATGTGCCCCCTGGAGCAATCCAGGGCCCTGCAATGCCATGTGTGCCCCCCACCCCCCAAACCTGGGCTTACCATGTACTGCAGGCGCATCTCGTACCGCAGCTTGTCCTGGAGCAGGCGGGTGAGCTCACATTCGCCTGGTGCAGTGGCCTCCAGCCCCAGCACAGCCAGGACACCTGGGCAGCCAAAGCCAGCGGTGTCAGCCCCCTTGGGGACACCCCCTGAGGTGACCCCGAGGCCATCCCCCCCGTCCCCGAGCTCTACTCACACAGGACGGCCGCGTAGCCCTGCTGCATGTTGACAGTGGCCATCGGCGGAGCCCCAGGCTGCGCCTACATGGCTGGGGCTCACCGGGAGCCTCCTGGGCAGCGGCGTGGACGGTGGGGGGAGGAGGGACGGGCGCAGGCTCCGGGCGCTGGGCTGCTCTCCGGTAGCCCCGGGCGGTTGCACCCTGCCATGGATGGGGGATTAGTCCCCCTTCTCGGCAGTCCCCGCTGGTTTCTCCTCTCCAGCTGGTGGCAGGGAGGCAGCAGGTCCCGGGGCCATCACAGGGTGCCAGGAGGGATGTGCTCGCGGGGGTGCAGGACCCTCCCCGGACTGCAAGAGGGGATCTGGGGGAAGAGAGCCCCGGCTGCAGCCCCAGGGCAGGCGGGTGCCCGGGCTGCAGCCCCCAGGGAGGGCACCCACTTCACCCACTTCTAGCCCTGGGGGCTGCGGGGAAGGGACAGCCCCGTGTGAGCCTCGGGGGGCCCAAGGACTGTGGGTGGCCCTGGAGCCGTGGGTGACTGTGGCCGTTTGAGGCAGGGCTACCAGGACTTACCTGGTGACGCCCCCAGGGGATTTCCAGGGGAAGGGGTGGCCCAGCCCAGCCCCATAATCCCAGCAATGAGTTAGTCTGGTCTCAGCCAAGGACCGTTAGGGAGACAGGTCTGGTGAAGTGGCCAGGCCACCCATGCTGGGTCCCCACACCCCTGCAAAGGGGATTGTGCCATGTCCCCATGCTGTCACCCCAGGGGAAGGAACCCACAGTATGTCCCTCTGCCGCATCCTTCACAGCTTGTCCCCTTGTGGAGGGGGTTGTTAAGCCCTGCACTGTCCATGCCATGTCCCAGCAAAGAAAGGGTCCTACCTGTGTCCCCACGCCATGTCCCGCTGCCAGCGGGGGGGGGGTGTCACGCTGTGTCCCCACCCCACGCCATGTCCCAGAGGAAAGCAGCCGTGCCATGACCCGTGCCGTGTCCCCCCCCCCGTGCGAAGTCGCCACGCAGTGTCCCCGCGCGAAGGGGCGGGTGGCATCCCACGTCCCCAGCGAAGGGACCTGCGCGCCGCGACCCCGCGCGGGGCCGTGGGTGCCGTGGGTGCCGTGGGTGCCCTGCCGCCCCCGCGCCCCCCGCGGACCCACCTGGCGCGGCGCGCGGGGCCGCGGGCGCGGGACGCGTCCACCCGCGGGCGGCGGCGGCGGCGGGGCCGTGCCCGCGCTTCCCGGGAGGCGGGCGGGGGCGGCGGCGCGGGGAGCGGGCGGGGCGGCGGCCGGGGCCGGGCGGGGAGCGGGGACCGAGCGACCGCCCCGCACGGCCCCGGCAGCGCTCGGCCCTGCCCCGCCGCGGGTGCTCGCTTGGCCGCCGCAGCCCGGTGGGTGTCCCCGAGCTGGGCGGCGAGACCGGGAGGTGTCCCCAGGGTAGGTAGGTAGGTAGCCCGGCTGGGTGTCCCCAGGGGGTTTGACTCACCCTGCTCCTCGCGGTTCTTGGCTGCTCCAGACAGGTAGTCCCCAGGGTGCTCAGCAAGCCCAGGCTGGGTGTTCCAGGATGCTCAGCTCACCCAACCGGCTGTCCCGAGGGTGCCCAGCTCATCCAGCTGGATGCCCCCATCCACCTCATCCATTTGGGTGTCCCCAGGGTGCTCAGCTCAGCCAGCTGGGTGTCCCCAGGGTCCTTGGCTCACCCTCCTGGGTCCCTTCCTGCTCCTTGGGGTGCCTTGCTGCCCCAGCCAGGAGCCACAGGGTGCTGGCCTAACTCTGGTCTGTGGCCCACTCCAGTCCTCAGGATGCCCACGTGGCCCCTGTGGTGCTCTGCTCTGCCAACACCGTCGCACCCTCAGGGCACTGGACATTCCTGGCCAGGCACCTCAGGGTGCTCACTGGGCTGGACACGCACGGGTAAATTTTGAGGCACTCAAAGTGGGAGTAACCCCAGTGCTCCCCAGCATGCTCCTGTGCAAGGGCTGCACTGCAGCACAGATCTCAGAGGGGCTGGGGCATTCCTGGCTGTCTCCAGGTCAGCAGGACTCTGCTCCCTCTGGTCCAAGCCCACGATGTCCTCTTAGGATGCTTCAGGGCTGAGCTCCTGCCAGGAGCAGCAGACAAGAGCCATGGGACAGTGTCCTCCTGCCTGCCAGCCCCAGGAGCCCCTGGGAGAGCCACTGTGTCTGTGCTGGGCGCCCCAGGGGTCGACGAGAGAAATCGGCTATCAAAGAGCAGGTCAGTGCTCCCAGGGAAACGCGTGGGAAGGAATGCACTTCTGCCTGTGAGGAGAGAGCGCTGGGATTCCCCTGGCATGGAGTCAGGGCCACTGTCGTGCTCCTGCCAAGCTTCCCCCGGTCCTGGCCAGTCCCAGGCACAGCCCTTGCCTCCCTCCCAGGGCCGGGCTGGGGGCAGGATGCTCAGCTCGGAGCAGGGAAGGGGTCGGTCCAGCTCCTCGTGCAGGTGTCCCACAGGGATTTTGCCCGCAGCTGCTGCAGTCGTTGGAGGAAGCCATTTAATAGCATTCCCTGCCCACGTAGTCATCAGCTTGGCAGGCGGGATGGGGCGAGGAAGAGAAGGGAAGGTGCGGAACTGCGCAGCACGGGGGTGGTTGGCCCTCCTTGGCCGCACCAGGCTGGAAAGCACCGCTGGGCCCAGCCCAAGGCAAACAGCTCCCAGTTCACATCCCCGGGAGCTCTGCTCCCACGCAGGAGGACACAGCACCCTGGGGCTGCAGGAAGAGCTCCTGCTGGGAGAAACCCTCCTCGCCCCAGCTTGGAGCTCCCCAGGAGAATGTGGTCTGGGGGCTCAGCCAGCTCCCCCCAGCCCACCAGCTCCCCTGGATGGGGGCTTGGCCCCTCCCAGGCTTTGCCTTGCACTGGAGGCAGGTTATTCACCGAGCCCAGCCAAGGAAACAAACCCTTGGGCTTGAAACCAGCTTGGGAACAACCCAAGATCCCCCCACACACTTCCATTCTTGGGACACCAACACAGCAAATGCCAAGTGGTGCTGGAGCTCTGCTGGAAGCACTCTCTGATCCAGAGCATCATGCCCTGGGGGAGGACAAGGGGACAGGGAACATGGGGAGCACTGGGCAGGCACCCCAAGTCCATGGCAAGCCAGAAGGGACACACCAAGCTCAGCTCCCCTTTGCCCCTCCCACGACACAGCCGTGCCCACTGAGGCCGGGGAAGGGAGCACAAAGCCCTTTGCCCCCCGGCAGAGGATGGGTGGGGCCCGGGGTGCCATGTCAGAGCCAAAGGGTGCAGCCCTGGGTTAAGCCCCTGCCAACGTTGGCCTGCGAGGATGAGCCAAGGCAGGAGAGGGGAGAGGAGGGTGCAAAGGACAGGGCAGGAGGGCAGGTTTACCCTTACCCTGCACAGCACACGCGCTGCAGAACACGGAGGCTGCTCAAAGGGAGCACCGGGACAGGGGGCACCTGCCTCGCCAAGCCCAGGCTGGCAGCAGCATCCTTCAGCTCTGCAGACAGACCCACTAGCAGGAGAGAGCAGGGAACAACCCAACAGAACCAGGAAACACCTTCTGTGTGGGTGCACCCTGGCTGGGAGCCTCTGCTCAGTTTGCCAGGACAAGGACCTTTCCCCAGCCTTCCTGGCAGCCAGCTGCTCCTCTCAAAGCTGCTGCTGCTTCAATGGGCAACACAGGAGCCCTGAGCTTCAGCCATGCCCTGGAAGGGCTGGAGAAACAACTCTTCCCTTCCCTCTTTCCATACCCTGCTTTGTGTGTGTCCCAAGGACACGCTGCAGGGCACGGGGCCAGCTCCAGGCAGGGCAGCGAGGGGCTTGCAGGAGTGCAGGGCCTGGGGCTGAGGGTGAGCACATTTCTGAATTCCTCCTCCTCCCCTCCCGCTAGGTCAGCAGCAGCTGCTGCGAAGGAGAAGAGCCCCAGCGCCAGGGTAGTGAAAAAACAGGCTTTTATTCTTCATGTGCTGCTCACAGTCACAGCTTGGAGACACTCTCTTGCCAAAGTTATTATGAAACAAATCAAGTCCCAGACTCAGGCCTCGCTCTTCCCCACCCCCAAGAGAGTCAACATTGTACAAAACTCTATTTACAGGGAAAACAGTCAAAAACGGTGAGTCCAAAAAAACCCCCTGCAATTCAGAAGAAAACGCTCAAATCAAGTGTGACAGCTACACCCTCCACACAGCCAGGCTTCCCATCAGCTGCTCCCTGGGCTGGTGGAAGCCCAAAGCACTATTAAGAGCAGCCTGGTAATCCTGAAACATGCCACAGCTCTTTCCTTTCCTAAAACGCTGGGAAGTCACAAATCCCACTTGACACGACAAAGACTCAGGTGGATCTGCCCTACAGGACTTTCTGCAAGACACCCAGGGGCTCCCCCATCCTAAAGGGAGGACAAGGAGATGGGGCTGAGGGTCAGTCTGCATCCTGCCTGGGGCACTTCCCAAGAGAGAACTGCTCTGGCTGGAAGCTGGAATGTCAGGAGCCTTCACATACGCAGCAGGATGTGTTGGGAGACCTAACAGCTGACACTGTATTTACTGAAGCCAGGTTGCTTTGAAACATAAACCAAGAGGACCAAACCAATATTTGAAAAAGGGGAAGAAAAGCACACATTCCTCCTCCCAACAGTGCCTGGAAGAGCATCCAGAGGAGCTGTCAGCTGTTCTGCCCCTGCCAGCTGCCCCTCAGAAAGCGTAGCGTGTGCGGATGTCTTCCAGCTTCTTGGATACCTCGGGTGGGGTCCGGTCCAGCTCCTCAGCCACATTCTTCTGTTTGTTTGGCTCCATGGAGTTGAACTGCTCGCACAGGTCCCCATCTATCACATTCTGGAGAGGCAAGGAGGAGAGCACTGAATCGACACCACACAGAGGCACTGAACCCTGCCTAAACGGGGAAAAATGGCTACAAACAGTCTGTTCCCAGGAGCTTCTTAATCCTGTCCTGGAAACAAGACCATGCCTGGTGACCTCATCTGCTGAATAGCAGCAGTTAGCATCACATTAATTACTGGCCAGCCTGAGTAACGAAAGAGAAACCCAAAAGGCCTGGGTGCAGCTGAAGAATCACACAAGGGAAAGGAAGAGGGATCCTCCTGGGTCTGAGCCCTGCACTGGGAAAGACGGGGGAAGCTGTGAGTGATGACTGAAAGGCACCTTCAGTCAAATGGGACACATCTTTGAGGCTGTGCACTTTGCAAGTCAGCCTCAAGCTCCTCAAGAACAAGAACAGCTGGACAGCTGCACCTGGACAGCTTCAGCTGCTGGGACAGTGTTCTGACTGACTCTACACACGCTACTCTGGCAGCAGTTACCACACAGTTACATGGGTTCAGTACTCTGGACCCTCCTGGTCACAGCATTTAGCAGTCAACAGCTTCTAATGGTTCCTCAAAAGCAGAAGCATGCAGGAATAGCCATTTCTAGGGAGATTTCCCTTTCCAGTGGTGGTAGAAAAAGGGGAAATGCTGCAGTGTAGAGAAATGCAGCAGCACCTCTGGGCTTGAGTCTCAGAACCAGCTCTGAGGAGGCTCATTACAAGAATTAAGAAACCAGAACAGCCACAGTTTCAAGTGCTAAGTGCTGCTCTCCTTACAGAGTGCTGCTCAAGAGCCAGCATCAATTCCTGCCTCAGGCACTACACGAGCCTTGGCTCATACTGCCCCAGTCTTCCCCACTGAGCAGCAGTCATGACTTGCTTCTGCCAGCCTCAAGGCAGCTCTGAGCCCCAGAGCAACTCTCTGCACCCCCAGGACCTCAATGATCCTAAAAGCTCAGGCCTACCTTCACTGGGAAGTAGTAGGAGCGGAAGCTGAGATGGTCTCGTCCACAGAGAGGAGGGTGCTCAGACCGTAAGTGCATTTCCACGTGCTGGAAGAAGTCGTGATCCTGGGGAGATTAAGGATTGATCAGAGAGCACATCAAAAGCACATCAAGTGGCAAAGCAAGACAACACCCACCAGGTTCCTGCACTGGCTGAAAGCTGCCATCACACTCCCAGTTGGGGCTGGACTACATAGTCCTTAAATGTCCCTTCCAAGCCAAACCAGTCTGTGGTTGATACCAGGCCCTGCCAGAGCAGCCCTGCACATGGCAGCCAAGGTCACAGCTACCCCCTCACCACTTCCCCACACGGAGCACCCACAGCAGAGCTAAGCAATCACCCTGGCCAGGATCTGAGGCACAAAGCAGCTGTGCAGCACAAAGCTGCAGCCCCAAGAGGCAATATTTTAGCATCTGCTGCTCCAAGAGGCCACACCAAACAGACAGGGGTGCC